AAAAAAAGTTGTCTTCTTTTTTCCTAAAATTTAACCTCTTTTCTGGTCTAGGGAGTTTAAGAACCACACCTTTCCTAACACCTAGAGTAATAGCACTTTATGTAAGTATTGCATATTCTTATTTTAAAGGGATTTTCGTGTATATTCTCTCATTTGATTATCTGTATTTAAGGCCAGATAATTAAGGTCAAGTTTGTTACTAAGTCATGCTCAGGAGTGTCATGACTTGCTCATGACAGCTGCCACTCATGACTTACTTTATTTGTGGTTAGTAGGGTACTTAGCACTATATATATAATCTCACTGAATCTTCCTCAAAAAACATATCAGGAAAGTGTTACAATCTTCCTTGTTCTAGACATAAACAACTAAAGCTTAGAAGACATGCTACCTTGAAGTGCTCCAGCCAGCTCCTGAACCCAGGCACCTGGCTCCCAGACCATTCTTGTAACCGTTAGTCTACCTTTCATGGAAGTGGGATGCTCCTCTGACCCTCTTCTTACTCTCTTTTTCCATGACCCCAATTGGCTCCACAATGGCAGGTTATTTCATTTTAAAATGAACAAAATACTGTGCATTCTTGGAATTATTTTTTCCTGTGCTATTGCTCATGAAAGGCAAGGACTTCTGGTGATAATGCTTAGTGGGTGGTATTTCTGTTGACATCAGGGATATCATGTAAAGATACATGATTCTTTTGATGGTAAATTCATACGATACTCAGTTAATTTTGTCACCAGGTATTTATATGTATTATATATTCACTTCTGAGTTCTTCTTATCTAAATTTTCAACCCCTACTCGTCTCCAATGTTTATCATTTCATATTCCTATTCCCTTTCTTATTTTGCTCTTTAACACTTATCACTAATATATTAATACATTTCATTTCTTTTGCTTATTGTTTGTCTCCACTAAAATTAAGTGCCATAAGGACACACACTTTTGTCTGTTTTGCTCACTACTGTATCCCGTACAACTAATGAATAGAAACTCAATACATACAGGTCAAATAAATTAACATTTATGTTTAGACAGTATTCTCAGGATTTATATTTCAATGATTGTTATGTAATGGAGTGGTGAGTGATATATGAGACTAAGTTTTCAGAATTAGGAACTACATGCACATATTTGCACTGCTGTTGGATGTTTGTCATCTACCGTAAGAGGCTAACATCTATAAGAGGAAGATAAGATCACTAGATGATACAACCATCTCAGAACTGTGGAAGAAGATCACATTTACCTGTTAGTTTATCCTAATAAACTAATATTAATAAATCCTAATAAACTTGTTAGGGTTGTCATGTTAGGAAGAACTCAATCTTAATGGGGAAGTAACAGTATAATAGTAGCATAGCCACTGGTTTCAGAATGGTGCAGTTCAATTCTCAACTACTCAATTTACAAGCTTTATAAGTATTAGAAGTCACTATTTTTTTATGCCAAAGATGCTTATCCTGACACTTCAAGGGATTCTTCAACTCTTTAAAACTGTATTCAACCCTATTGTGTGTAAGCAACTGGATGTAACTTTCTTGGGAGATCTAGAGTTTTCATCAAATTTGCAATGTCTCTCAGTACTTATAATAGTCTGGGTATCAAATATCAAGTTATACTGTTATAAATAAATCCACACAAATATATTCCTTTGGATTGGTTTGAACCCTTAAGGCCAGCCAAAATCCTAACACTTTGCAAGCCCTTAATACTTCTATGTTTTTTCCTTGCCCTACCTGCAAAGACTAGAGCTACAAAACAACACTAACTACACTATTATTATAATCACCTTTCCACAATGAAGGTTAAATGATTTGCCTATACCTACATTTCCTAGACAAGAAAACCTCATACATACTTTTATTAAAGAAATGATCACATTTTATTGTCAGGAATACTTATGTATCTCTCACAGAAATGATTCTGTGAAAGTGAAAGCATCATGTCTTATTCATTTTTGTAGCCTCGGTATCTGAAAAATGAACATAGAGCATGTTCAATATATGTCTATTGTATAATGATTGATGTGGATATTAGCTTCAGGACATCTGAGTTGAAGTACTCAACATATATCATTTCATCAGGTCACACACCTTTTCATGAAATTAACTTAAAGAGAGAGTCTCCTTCTCTTTATATACTGTTCTAGTATTTTCTCTTACCCAATATCTTCCTCAGCTGGAGTACTAACTCTTAAGTGTACATTTATATTCCTGTCATAGAAAGAAAAAATAAAACATGAATCAAGTCTAATAGAAAGCAAAATACATATTCTGTTTCTATTGAAGGCATATGGAAACTAAAGGCTGTGATATGTTTTAAAATATTCAAAAAATTGTCGCTTATTCCTGGAGTCTTCTCATACCCATGGGGGATATGTTCTAACACCTCCAGTGGATTCTTGAAACTAAGGATGCTACCGAACCCTAGATAGACTATGTTTTTATTCTATACACACATGCCTACGATAAAGTTTAATTTACAAATTAGGCATAGTAAGGGATTAATAATAATCACTAATAATGATATAGAACAATTATAACAATATACTACAATGAAAGTTATGTGAATGTGCTCTCTCTCTCTCTTTCTCTCGTAACATCTTATTGTATTCTAAGATACAATAAGATATGGTATCATCCCTTCCTTTTTATTTTTTAATTTAAAAAATTTTAATGTTTTATTTATTTTTGAGAGAGAGATAGAGACAGCATGAGCAGGGGAGGGTCAGAGAGAGAGAGAGGGAGACACAGAATCCAAAGACAGGCTCCAGGCTCTGAGCTGTCAGCACAGAGCCCGACGTGGGGCTCAAACCCATGAACTGTGAGATCACGACCGGAGTCGAAGTCAGATGCTTAACCGACTGAGCCACCCAGATGCCCCTGGTATCATCCCTTCTTCTTGGGATGATGTGAGATGATAAAATGCCTATATGATGAGAAGAAGTGATGTGAATGATATAGGCACTGTGACACAGCATTAAGCTACTATTGACCTTCTGACATTATGTCAGAAGGAAAATCATCTGGGGCGCCTGGGTGGCTCAGGCAGTTAAGCGTCCGTCTTCGGCTCGGGTCATGATCTCATGGTTCGTGGGTTCGAGCCCCGCATCAGGCTCTGTGCTGACAGCTAGCTCAGAGCCTGGAGTCTGTCTTAGGATTCTGTGACTCCCTCTCTCTCTGACCTTCCCCTACTCACACTCACTCTCTCTCTCAAAAATAAATAAATCATTTTTTAAAAAAAGAACGAAAATCATCTGTTTCTGGACTATAGTTGACCACAGGTAACTAAAACCGTGGAAAGCAAAATCACAGAAAAGGGGGAGTTACTGTGCTTTATGTCTTATTGATCTCAAACAACCAATCGCAGCCAACTTCCTGTGTCATTTTCTAGGGATCTAATCAGTCTTAAGGCCACTAGTTGCATTCATTCTGTCATCCTGGTATCTGCTTTGCCTACCATATTCTGAAATCTCTCTTTTTGCACATTTATATTTCTGTTGCATTTCCTCATCATGTTCTCCTGGTTTCACTACCAAGTTCCTTGCTAACGCATCTTTTAATTAGTTACATGAAGAGCATCCATCCAGTATGTGAGCTATGTGATGAAAGTAAGGGGAGTCCATTGGCAGAGAATCAAGCTTAACGGGTGAGGAGAAAAGATGTGAAAAAGAATCTTAGGGGGAAAAGGTGGGCATTAGAATCACAGATAATAGTAATATAGCTACATTGATTTTTTTTTTCTCCTAATGTAATCCCAGAACAACATATAGGGAATGTTGGTTAATGAACGGCTAAATACTCTCATCATTACATATCAAGGTAAGAACATACATTTTTTCAGTTTTTGAATATCCACCTACCCTTTTTCCCTCCCTCCCTCTCTTCCTTCCTTCCTTAGTCCCTCCCTCCCTCCCTCCCTCTTTCCTTCCTCTTCATTCTTTTGTTCTTTTTTAAAATTAACATCCATCTCTTAATTTCTGCACTTAGAGAACTACACCAGGTAAAAAGCTTGGGTCCCCAAATGTCCCTAAAAGTTGTGCAAAGATATATCATGTGCTTGATGTCAACAAGGCATTCCTGAGTATGGTATGGAATCTCATGGGGCAAATTCTAGTCTGACTTTAAGTATATAGGCAAATATGGAAAGAATAACAATCCATGAACTAAAGGTATTATCAGATATTTGGCTATAAGAAAGGTTTATAGTCAAAAAATATATAGCAAGACCATTCTGTACTTCTAAAATAATTCTGATTATCCGAGATTCACCAAATTCCACATTATATAAATTCAAAGTAATTCTTATTCTCAGATATTGACCTTACTTGCAGAACACCAAATATAGTTCTGTTAGTGAAAAACAAACTTTACTTTCTAAATGAGGAATTAGGTCATAACTCTTGGACTTCATAGATAAATATATCTAAACGCTAACAATTTCATTACACAATCTTGGAGAAAACAATACAATGGTTTGAATATTTCATGTAAAATTCTATAAAGACAAAAGTATCATTAACTTATTTCATTTAAAAATAAAATATGAAATCCATCCCGCTCCTTGCATAATTATCCAGTTCCTTTGACTACAGGTTATTCTAAAAGGTATTTGAGAATAACCTCAGGTAGCACTTGTATATTCTGGTAACATAAACACTTTCAAGTTCAAAAACATAATCTGATTTTATAGGGTTATGCTTTATTTAAAAAACAAAACCCTTCTTTATTAAAAAACTGAAAGCTCTTAAGTCTTTGTACTATGAATAAAAGAATTATTTTTGAAAACTTTAAAAGTGGCTGCAATTTCCCATTTAACAGTAAATATTGCATGCAAAAAGACTAGCAAAGCTTCAGAATAAGTATTAAAATGACCACTGTTCCGTAATTTGCATCACTTCATAAAAAAAATATTTGACAGTAAATTACTGGGTCTACATGTGCATGCTACAGCATAGTATGTTCAGAGTTAAAAAAAATAAAGTAAAATGCAATTACCCTAAAAGACATTTCAAGATTCTCTCCACCCCAGATATCCATTCCTGCATCGTAAGTTCCTATCTCTTCAAAGTAGTTTCTGTCAATAGAAAATAGGCCACCAGCCATAGTAGGGGTCCTAGTTGAAAAAAAAACAAAAAGAAAAGAATATCTTTTGAAAACAATGTGTGGAGTTTAATGAGACTGTAGCAAATAGTTTTGAGACACTTTAAATTAAAAAAAAAAAAAAAAAACTAGCACTCAAAAATCTCAAACTGGAAACATAAAGCCAAAGTGTAAGAGGTTTTAAAATTAATAAGTAGCATTTTAGTTCACATTTTCTGTAAAACTAAATTTAGATTAGTCTATGTTTTTCTTATAGGTGATCCAATAGATATGTGGAAGGAACACTGGCCACTTAAGACAGGGGTTTGTAAATTCCTTCTGAAAAGCATAGTGAAGAGAAGTGAGGGCTCTTAGCTCTACCCTTAAAGAGCTTAACTGGTCATGAAACTACAAGTTGTGATCTTTTGTCACCTAATTATAAATCATTTTAATATGAATTCTAGAAACCTTGGGAAGTGGTTTCTCTATGAAAAGATCTATAGCCTATTTCAATATGAAAAATATCAAATGCTATAAAATATTTGTAGGCAATTAAGTATGTAATGGTAGTTAAATATTTTTTAATATAAGAGCTTTATATCTAATTATTTATTCTTCTCTTTACCCAATTTAAATGATAGAGTTAATCAGATGACCCTGGCTAAACATAAATCTCATATGCTATTTAGAGGCTTAGCAGAACATTTGGCAGAGATTCTAAAACCTTTTTCTAGGAATAAATGCCTTTTGATTCTCACATTCAAGACTTCTCTATAGGAACTCAGGAGTCAGATGTTAAACTTTTAAAGGATTAATTATTAATTTTAAAAGATTAATTAAAGTCAGTGATTTACACTATGCAAGTCTTCCTGTATAAGCAGAATGAATTGAAACTAAAAAATAAAATTCTAGTTTTTTCACAAATGGATCTATCTATACTGACAATTTTTAAATTTTAATTGTAGAAGAGTGGTTTTAAACCTTCATAGCATGTTAGAGGCACCCAAAGCACCTTTAAAAAACACATTTCCATGCTTGGGTATCACTCACACTCCACAGATTCAGATATAATTGGCCTGAGGTGGAGCCTGACCTTTAGTACTGTGTATAGTCCCCTGCTGATTTTAATATGCTCTTAAACAGGAGAAACACTGGTCTAGGGGATTTGGACACTCATTCAAGTAGACCGAGATTGCTTAAAAAAAACAATGTTTTCCTTTTCTGGAGATTATATCCTCTTCTGCCACAGGATATGCTAATACCCTCTGATTGAACAGTATAGTTCATTGAAAAACCACCGAATAATATTGTACTTGGACATCTACCACAATGCAAAATTCCCTATCTCTCCCGCTGCTCTCACTGTTTTATACTCAAGCAATTAATTGTCTGTCACCTGGAGTAGCAGAACATCCTTAGTCTCGGAACTATTTTATTACTTCTGGTCTTGCTGTGTTCCTATCATGAACAGAAACACTGACCTTCTGAGACATAATGAGAAACACTAACAGAGCTAAACAGATGGTAATTATGGAGTACCCACCACCCTCACCTGACTGGGGTTTTGGAACTCCATGGCAATTACTATACCAAGGTGTAAGAGTGCTGGATAGTCTATTTAATGAAAAAGGAACAAAAATTGTTGCAATTATCTTATCATAATGCAACTAAGTGCTTAAGACTGTTAAGTAATGCATTTTTAATGATCAGTTCAGAATGCCTACTCACTTATCTATTTACTAATAAAGTACTGATGCATTTAGTTTAAATCCATGCATTGAATATCATCTTGCAATTGGTCATAGTTCCTATAAATACATGAGAAGTGTGCAATAAATGACTAAAATAATATATATATTTAACCGTAAGAATGACTCAAATTTCACTTATACTTAAAAAGTAACAAAAATAAAAACATAAAATTACAATTCCTCAAAAAATCCTGTAGTTTCTGAAGACAGATGCTCCTAGAGAGATTTTTTTTTTTTGTATTTGCAATGTCAGCTCTCCCAAGTAGTCTAGAAACTGTGCCTTATATAATATCAACAGTGTTATGCAACATGTTCTGTTCTAAGTTAATTGCTCTGTATCATCCCTAATGAACTATTCATGTATGCCTGTGTGGACTTCAGGTGTTCAGGGTGCCTAGAAAATTAAAAACCTATATATTCTCTAACCTTATTAATCAATTCAATCCATTTTGGGGGAAAATAAGGCACCCAATGTCTGTGAATATCACCTCCACTGTCAGTAAGTGAAGGTGATTAGAGTTAGTAGAAGCAAAGCACTTAGCACAGTTCCCAACACATAACAAACAGTTGGTAAGGTTAGGTGGTATGTCTTTGTCGTCATTGTTGTTGTCGATAATCATTCAAAGGTCTCCAGTGTCCTTCACTTATGACGTCCCATACACACCCTCATTTTGGACTTCAAAATCACTTGCATCTACTTCAGATCCAAGATGTTGAACTCTGAACTCTGCCTCTCTAAACACAACTTTCTATTCTTAACCCCGCCTGTTTCAAGCTTGTGACAGTCACTTTTTATTCTATAGTGTAGCTTCGGGTTCCTCTGCTACTCCGGAGTCACACATAATGACCCCCTTCAGGAACTGTTCCCTTCCCTTCCACCCAAACTCTCTCCAAGATTTTGCCATGTCAGTGAAAAAATAGCTTAGCATCCTAAATTCTCTATCCTTCCCTTATCTGACCCAATTCTCTTTTTGTAAGTATCAGTGTCTGGGTAAACCTACCCATGCATTATCTACTTCTGCACCTAGGAACCAGAGACTCCCTGGAAAATAATAAGATGAGGTCAACTAGTCATACTGCAAGTCCAACTTATTGACTCTCTGCTTAGTCTACAACAGCTAACAATCCGTTCATCTGTGTTAATCTGTTCTGCGGTCTCATTTTTTATAACTGACTCTTATCTAAAAGTCTTGGATTCTCCTCAAAACACCGAAGATTAAGGCAACGCATAAAATAAAAATGTCATCAGTTATAAAATCTAAACTCCCCCAATCTCTACCTCAGTATGTGTATGTATCTCCTCACAGCCTCTTCCTTCCTCCTGCCTCAGAGGAAAGAATATCTCCTTCATTGTGAGCTAACATTCACTCTTCTGGCCTCAGCTGTTCTTTTCTGGCTACTCTTTCAGCTTCTTGCTCATTGACTATTACATTTATGTTCTATGCCTTTGATTTCTAGATCATCCCCTTGAGCTTACAATACTGTTCAAGCAAGTTCTATCCTAAACCAAAGAGTCCTTCACTCCATCCTGCTACTTATTGAAAGGAAGGACATATATTTTGTATTCCCTATACTGGGAACCTTATTGAAAGGATGTTTTCTACGTACTCCCTCAACTCCTCTTGACCTTCTAACTGGAAGCTAGATCCTATTCCCATCTCTACTATAATTTCTTTCTAAAAGATCCCTGTTGATTGTGAACTTGAATAGGCTTTCCTTAAAATGTCTTCGGAAGCATTTGAACACAATTCAGCAACCTCCCTGATTGAAATACTTTTCATCTCAGACTCCAATAGCATTTTTCCAGAGAGGCTTTTCCCATTTGTTTTATGAAACTTTTATTTTTTTATTTTTTTATTTTTCTTTTAGTTTGTTTCTGGAAGAGACACAGCATGAGCAGGGGAGGGTCAGAGAGAGAGGGAGACACAGAATCTGAAGCAGGCTCCAGGCTCTGAGCTAGCTGTAAGCACAGATCCCGATGCAGGGCTCAAACCCACGAACCGTGAGATCATGGCCTGAGCCAAAGTCAGACGTTTAACTGCCTGAGCCACCCAGGCACCCCTCATTTTATGAATCTTATTGATATCCCTTTCCTTGCTGGCTGTCTCCAGTTCTTAGCTGCATACGTATAACATGAGTGAAATGTACAGTCATAATACTGTTTTGTAGATGTGTGTGCTTAATAATTGTCTGCTTTTGTCCCAATATGTGGTCTTCCTAAGAATCTCTCAGTGTAACTTTCCTCTTCCTATACTCCTTAACTGCATAAGTTCATTTGTTTTATGTCTTTGTCATCTTTGTGAGGCAGAGTCCTAATCTGTGTTTCCTTTTATTTCTTCTTTCTGCATTGTTTGCGCTTTTCTAATTATTTTCCAGATGTTTTCTAAAAAAAATCCCTTTGACTCTGCTCAGGGTATATGACATAGGACTGAGAATGTGCTAGCTCTTCCATATCTGCTTCTCCTTCAGTGTCTTCTATCTCCTTCCAGAATTTCAGTATAAGTGATAATACCCCTTTTAGCAACGTTCTTTTCTGTGCCTCATTCAATCATTTCCCAAATACTTCCTCTTATTTTTCCGAAGTATTTTTGATTCTTATCTCTGTTCTCTGCTATCATGGTTACTATCCAATTTTAGTCCTCTCGTGTCTCTTTGTTAAGGGAATCTTCTTGCTTCTAGAGTCTGTTGCTTCCAAAACGTATTCTACAAACCATAGCCACATTAGTTTCTCTACATCAAAACTCCTCTAAAAATGTCAACAGATGTTGCAATATGTATTTTAAGAAATAAATTCCAGCTTCTATTCTGACATCAGAGATGTGGTGCCGCCCAAGGAGGATCTCCATTCCTTTTAACTCTATTTCCCTATATTCTAAGGGTTAAGCTGTTAATAGTAAATGCTTCATACTTTCCCACCCTGGTACATGTGTCCACATCCATTTGTCACTTGGATTTTCCTTTTTAAACTCTTCTTGTGTGTTCAAATTTTTTTTTTAATGTTTTATTTATTTCTAGGAGAGAGAGAGAGAGAGAGAGAGAGAGACAGTGTGAGCAGGGGAGGGTCAGAGAGAGGGAGTCACAGACTCTGAAACAGGCTCCAGGCTCTGAGCNGAGAGGGAGTCACAGACTCTGAAACAGGCTCCAGGCTCTGAGCTGCAGTCAGCACAGAGCCCGACGCGGGGCTCGAACCCACGAACCGCGAGATCATGACCTAAGCGAAAGTCGGACGCTTAACCGACTAAGCCACCCAGGCGCCCCTCTTCTTGTGTGTTCAAATGTGCTC